TCCAAAAGCATCAAACACTAATCAGTCCTGTATCTCCAGTGTTGTCGCTGTTCAGTGTAATTCTTCGATATAACTTTCTTTTACGTCCTAGCTATCAGCTGCTTTAACTTCGTTGCAGTTATATTGCGGTTTGGCCTTTCAGATCAGTTTTCGATGTTGCTTTTCCTTTTCAATATACGTTGGTTCCAAATTTGTGTCTTGCTCTCGTGTGAGTTTGTATAAATTTCGTAGATCGCTACTCGACTTTCTTAATTTCAGTGTTATCCACGGTTTGGGTTTTGATAGAGATCTGCTCGTAATCACTTTCTCAGGACATATACTATCGAAAGGCCACAGAAAGGTGTTGAGAAATTTTTCGAAAGCACATCTGTATCAGTGTGTTCCATATTCCAAGATTCTTGAACAAGACTTAATCCTCGTTGTTCGAGATTACCATCGCCTGTTTTCCTCACAGTATACGAGGTCTTGTAAATTGAGTGATAAGACATTTTTTTCAATTTTCTCATTCAAATATAATTACAATTTTATGTTCTCACCCGCAAAATAACTTCTGAAGCCACATAGCGCTGGAGACGGTTCTTCCACTCCTCACAGCCGAGTTGGAACTCGGCTATTGGAGTAGCCTTCAGCAGGTCGGTTACAGCCGTTTAAGGGAGAATAAGGAGGCTGGTAGCTGCAGGAATGTTCATACTGACCGTTTATTGACGTTGCTTTGTGACAAGGACCATTACCGTGATGCAACACCCAGTTGTCCTTGATCTGATAATTTTTTCTATTCGTCATTGTCAGTAAGAGCGGTCCGTGGGACCTTTGCTCTTGGTTGAAGTCTTGTAAGTCTGTAGGTCTGTCAGGTCTGGTTGCCCAGGTACCAAACAAAGTCAGGCAGAAAGAAGGGAAGAAGAAAGGAAGGAGGGAGAGCAAAGAAAAAAGAAGTGCATCAATTTGAGGGGTGCCATCTTTTCATTGCTAGTTAGTATTCGGCAATTTTAAATTGATCCTAAATTAATTTTGGGATTGGTTGTTGAAGAAAAATTATAATTTTGGTTGGACCTAAAGTCGCACGATTTAATTTTGTTCACAGTGCGAGTCGCGGCCTTGTGTGCTTGCGAACTTGCTCGACTGTGTAGTCTACCGACTCGTGCAACAAAGGGTTGTTGTGCGATTCTGCTTGACTGTAACGTAGCTGCGCTTGTTGTTTGATGTAGTCCCTTAGGTAAGGGATGTCAAGGAATCTGTGAAGGGTCTCATTGGAAACATACCATGGGACGTTAGTGATTTTACGCAAGGTTCTGTTCTGCAAAACTTGCAGGCTACGCAAATGCGTTTTGGCGAAAAAACACCAAGCCGCATTTGCGTAAGTGATCGCTGGTCTAATAACCATCTTGTATAGCCGAACTTTGTTGATCAAACTTAATTTTGATGTTCTACATAGCATAGGGTAAAGTTGCCGAAACGAGGTTTGGAATTTAGTTTTTAACGCTTCAGTGTGCTTCTGCCAGGTTATCTCCTTGTCAAGAGTGACACCAAGATACTTAGCAGAGCTTTCCCATGGTACCCGAGCTCCATTCACTGAAACCTCAGACGGGGCGCCGCTACGTTTTTTAGTACAATAGATTGCCTGCGTTTTCGAATGATTAATTTTGATCAGCCACCGATTCGCCCATTCCAATACCTCGTCCACTGCACTTTGCAGCCTGTCGTGAACTAGATCCCCAGAGCACGACTGGGCCACCTGGGCAGTGTCATCAGCATAGAGATAGGCTTCACAGCTGCTGGGGCAAGGGACGTCATGAATAAAAAGTGAATAAAGGACTGGTCCAAGGACCCTTGATCTGATAAACGGTGGTGTAAATCAAACTTAATCCTTCCTCGATCATTCGGACTGTCAACCGACCATCTGAACGCACAAGATCCCGGATTCTGCCAATATTTTCAACGGCTCTTGAAGGTTAACGCCTTCCGCTCGAAAATGATTTCATCCATTTTTAGAAAACAATAAGAAAAACTGTCTCACAAAAAGATAGCTACGGGCAATCAAATAAGTCGAGAGAGTTCACAGTTGTACTGGAGACGAATCACATGTTCCTGTCTCTCCCCTCCACTGCCTCTAGTGTTGCCTGAACGAACGCTACGTTAGCAGTCTCATCCGTTAACTTACAGACTTCCTGAGATTGAGCGGGATACTTTATGTTGTTGGAGGTGATAAGGGAAGATAGAGTGAAGATTTGCTCTGCATGGTCGGATATTCGAGGATGTTCTATAGTACGTTTAAGAATTCGTGCGTTGAGGTTTGTGATCATGTAAGCGATTGAAGCTGTGGACATACTATTGGCCTTATTCGATGCTATGCGGGTTAGTCCGTAACCGAAGGGTTGTAGGATGTCATTGAGTAGTAAACTTACAAAGCTTACTAAAGATTTAGCTTGATATCGTATAGAGTTCTAGAACTTTGAACAAATCATAGGACCTCTATATCCCAGCGAAACCCTTACAAATTGTAATGGGGCTACGGCCATTTCAAACGCCGCTTTGACGGTGCCGATCTATTAGTCCGTGTATGTGTGTGAGAGTTCCGTCCGTCCCAATTGGTATGCCGCTCTCTGTGCCGTCCGTCCTTAATCCGGCCAGATAGAGAACGTAATCCGGGCAGTGATAGATGATTAGGGCGATCATAAATCCGCATTTGCCAGGGCACAGTTCCGATTCCTAAACGGTCGATATTAAGCCCAGTTTATGGGTGCAGTCAGAGACGAGACAGTTACGGACAGCCAGCGACACGTGGTGAACAGCGGTTACACGCACTAGTTCAACCACCTCACCGACTGTGAACGATTTATGTATTCAGATGCCTGTATGGGATTTCGGATTTGTAGACTAGACTAGCTAGAACACAGTAGGCCCAGGTGAAATCCATGATTATCATAACTCCAGAAGGTATGCTGACGTCGCGATCGAATTAAGAACGCCTTTGCGCATGACGTCACTCGGTGACAAATGTTTCGCTTGCCAGTACGAGCGATTCCTTGTCAGTATTTTCAATATTTGCTTAACATTTGTCTGTTGTGTCGACTTTACATGATAATTTTAGTATAATGTAAAATGCCTTATCTACATTTTGATGTGCTGCGCCTGTAGCTTTTCAAGGTAAAAGTTTTTTGGAACTCCAAATAGAAGATTTACTTTTTCATTGGAACCAAGTGGTTTCAAATAATACGTTTATGTGTAATATACCAGTTTGTTTGTATTAGATTTTTTATACAGAAAAGTGATATGGTAGTGATATGGTATATATATATATATATATATATATATATATATATATATATAATATATTGATATCTTTATAATTTTGAATAAAATGTTATGAGTAAATGGTTTTTTAGTCTTTTGTATGGGTAGATGTCATGTCACGTACCAAAATCACGTAACCTTTTTTTACTATTTTGATCACTTATGTTTAATTTGAATTTCTCTTTGTTGATTATAGAATACCGATTCCTAGACCAAACCCTTTTTAATGATTTTCTTTTAGCAAATTTCATAGCTTATTGATTGTATAATTTCACACGTATTATATCTTTCGTTCTCAATCACCCACTATTGTGTTGAAATCTTTATCATTAACGACTATCTTAGAAGTTTCCTCATAAAATTTTGTTCGTCACTCGTAAAGAGTTGACCAGCGCGCCATCTTGTAACTTTACACGTACTAGCCGTATAGGGATATTTGGTTCTAACAAGATACCTTCTTCAAGGCCACTCATTTAAAATTCTTTTAATATTTGATTTTCGATCAAGATGCCTTGTTTTGAAAACTTGGTGTGGGGACGCATCCAGGGTCATTTTGCTGTTACCTTCCGGCGGAGCAATAGTTTCCAGATTGTGAGATATTAGACTCCCAAACACCAATTTATGGAATAGTACCCGTTTATTTTGTACCATACGTTTAGTTGTGTTCGTTTGGGTACTACTCGTCCATTTTTTAACCTCCAGCGGTAAGTTCTCTTTTCTATACCATCGGACTACGTCCATCAATGCTTGCCTTGAAGAAGTTTGTTCAATATCTGCTTCCTTTTTGTGGAAAACCATTGCGGAGAACCACCGTTCACACTCCTCCAGCTTTATTTTGCAGCTGCCTTGTAGCTGTTCCGCAGTCGATTTTGTTGGAAGCCATCCCTTCCCCTTGATAAAAAACCCTGATGTGAATAGGTGAATATAATTTCAATTTGGTATCTCATAGATATTATTATATTGATTGTTAATGACTGAAATTCCTAGTGTGTTCTTGATTTTGGTTGGCATTTTACGTATTCAAATACAGGGTAGTACCTAATGTCATCGTCTTTCTGGCTTATTACATTACATTAATCATGATTTTAAATTTTGAGCTGCTATAACCTATTTTAGAACAAGGGATAACATTCTGAGGGTATATCACTTTACTAAATTTATATCTTTTCTACCTTTGCTTTAAATTTACTGTGAAAATTAATGTATATGGATTTTTCTTCAAGTTTTGAGTGTTTAAATGTGTAGTTCTGTCTCAGACATATAGTAGAGAGTAGGTATTTGAAAAGTCGTTCCCTCTCTAGGGTTTTTTTATACCGAAAATTTTGGAAAACAAAAAACAAAACAACCTTGTGACGTTTATTACGTCACTACTCACTACTGGAGACTGGTTTTTGGCCTGAGCGTTTGTGAGCTGGAAACACCTCATCTGCGCCTAGAGCTGTAACTGATCATCCAGATAAGTTTCGGTTTAGGCATTAAATTACTTATAAAGCTTATATTTGTGAAGCCTTCGTACGTGTACCACGGTAAACGTTTTGCAGGCTTAATTATCATGGTCTAATTATTTTATTGACAGGTACTTTTGAATAATATTCTTTCTTTTAATTTGCAGTGCATATGTGGTGCTTGTTTTGATAATATAAGTTATGGAATCCTGTTCGTAACATAACTATGTGGTACAAGCCCATTACTCCAACAAATTGACTTGTATGGCAAGCAAGCCCATTAAGAAATATTTGCTTTTTACTTCTTTTTTTCGATACAGCTCTGTTATTTTTCCTATAAAGATTAGAATTATATCGAGGCACAGACAGATTTTGTTCAATACTTGTAACCACTCTTCGTTCCTGCAATAAAGTCCGTTATTTTTTTTAACATACGACGTGTGCATTCTTTATCTGGCGCTGCAAACAGGATCGTTATACGCCTTCGTGGAAAACATCTGGAAGTTTGTACGAGCCCAACCAACCATCAGTAAAATCTTCGAGATTCATCAGGTGAGCTGAACTACGTCCCTTCTGTGTGACCAACCATTGTGAGGTAGGAAGTATCCACTTCCGTAAGAGAAACGATCTGAGAACCTGAGAGCCACGTCGGAGGTCCCTGCAGAACGAGCCTAGAGAAATAGAGAACTACAAGAACCAGAGCAGTCTCCGTTATGAAAAATTAGATTTTTCACATAACGCTAAAGTAAACCAAATCCATTTTATCTATTTAGTCAAAGAAACTTTTGGTAAATCTCCAGTACGAGAACGATCACCCATTAGAAGACAACCAGTAAAAAACCAAGCTAACGTTAGAGAGGAATTCAGACAACCATGGCTGACAATCCACAAATGTTATTTAACCTATTGAAACATAGTGTGCCTATTTTTTCTGAAACATCAAATAATTTATCTGTATATTTACGTAAATCTAGAGAATTTGTTGCCGCTTTGCATGGCCCACATCAAATTCATGCTTTATCGTACGTAAAATCCAAACTACAAGGATAACCTTCTGTTATCGTTGAACGAAATAATCCTCAAACTTGGCAAGAATTTGAAGAAATTCTCAAAGAACGGTACAAAGATTCAAAATCCGAATTAATGCTACTTGATGAACTTAGAAATTTATCCCAGTACACAGACTATATGAATTTTCATACTGAAATTTTGCAAAAATTACATATTCTTAGAGAATATGCTCTATTGGAATTTTCTGATGTAGTTACTCAATCTGGAGTCGACCTTTACACAGAAGCTGCATTAAATTCATTTGTAACTGATAATAAAGAACCATATAAATCACTACTATTTAACGAAACACCTACAAGTCTTCAAGCTGCCTTACAAATTTGTCGAAAATACGATAATTTACAAATACAATTGCAATGCAAAGTATTTACTAAACAAAATGCCAAAAATACTAACGCCATTCAAAAACCGAAACCTGCAAATACCGTTCAAAATACACCTATGTGGCGATTCCCTTCAAACCAACAATTTTACAATCCCCAATTTTACCAACAGCCACAACGATCTAACTTCCCAACTGGCCCGATTAACATCAGACCGAATTATTTTAATAATCAATTTCAAAGACAAATTCAACCACGATAGCCTTATTTCTATCCACAAAATAGACAAGGTCCACCAAAAAACTTTAAACCGACACCCATGTCTACATCAACTATTACGAACCGCCCATCGCAACAACAGAATCAATACCGTCCTAACTTTTTCTCAAATCACGGACAAAGACCAAATTTTATCGCTGAAGAACTAACCAACACCGAAGCGACCGAACAATCACAAAACGTACAAGAATACGATAAACAGCAATACTATGATCCAAATTATGAAAATTATGACCAACAAGAATATTAAAATTCAGATAGTAACCCTATCGAGTTTCCCCCTGAAGAGACAACTCAAAATTTTCCGAAAGCCTCAAATCAAAACCCATTGACTTAGATCTCAATAATTATGAGAACACACATTTGCCATACATTTATTTAAAAAAATTAGATTTGCTAGTTCTTATAGACACTGGTGCATATGTCTCTTTGATCAACACTCAAATTGCTTTCAATTATTTTCCAGATTGCATTTATCCAAAACACTTTTCAATAAAATCTGTAATTGGTACTAAACACGGTGAATACGCTTGGCGAATTCCTTTGTTCAATGAACATGGCATTAACAATGAAATTGAATTTCTCATTTTAGACTGGCACGAACGTTTTGACTGTTTGCTAGGATATTATGATCTACAAAAATTTCAAGCTACTTTACAAACATTTGCTATCCATTGATCGTTTAAACTTTATTTGCCACACTGACAAAATACCACGTAAAGTCCCGAACACTGTAATCAAAAATCAAGTTCGAAAATCCCCTATCAAAATTGGACAAATTATCGTTCCACCTATTAAATATCTAAATTCTAACGATTACACACCCGAAATGATTTGTACCGTCAATAATTACGAAGTACTATACCCAGAAAATCCAAATCTATTAGATTTAAACTATCAATGCATCCAATACGACAATTTTGATAATTACGACATTACCCCAGAATGAATATAATTTAACTGATATTGGAACTTTAATAAGAACTGATTACATGAATGACGAGGAAAAATACAAGATAAGTAGAGATACTGGTGCACTCTGGGCGCCCCCCACCACTTCCACTTTTTGGCCACGCCCACCACATCCACCGCGTGCTCTGATTGGCGGATCAAACGGCGGGAAATTTGAACGGGGTTGATGGTATATGTTGATTGGCGGGAACCGCTAGATCCACCGCGTGCTCTGATTGGTGGATCAGACGGCGGGAAGTTTGAACGGGTTGATGGTATATGTTGATTGGCGGGCCCCGTTAGATGGCGCACCCGACCGGAAGTGATTCAGACAGCCGACGATAGTAAGGTGTAGTATAACGTCTATGCGTAAGCGATGTGACTCATTTCATGTTTTGCGGTAAATATTTGCATATAGATCGATAAAAGCCCATGAATAATGATATTTATAGATGCAATTCTGCTGATTCAGTTTAAATGGAAAAACGTATAAAATTCGCGGGAAACAATGCGTATAGGATGATCTCAATAATCAACACGTCATATTCAGTGTGCATATAAAAATGGAATTGCTCATATATGTGGTGCATACAGTTAATGTTAGTTAATTTTTAACATTGATACAATATTGAAAACATAGTACAGTCTATATTGTGTATCTAATAAATTCAACAAGGCAATCACCTACGTCGCAAATGAGGTTAGGTTCAGGGCAGGTGTTGTCGTAGCGGTGATATGCAAGAAGTACCGGGCGGGGCTGTTAAGCATGGGTGAATGGGCAGGAAGCGCAGGCTGTCAACGAGTTAATACTGACCAACGATAACAGCGGTGACCTTGAAACACTGTGGTCAGTTAAAAAGTGGTGGGGATAAAATCGAGATTATAAATACCTATGAATCACCGCAAATTATCTTCGCCATGCTGGAAGAGCAGATGCGAAACCTGCAAGAAGCATTCTTGCAGGCCAGGCAGGAGATTGAAGACCTGAGCGGGAAGCTCCGCAGGGCCAAGAAGAAGGCCGCAAAGAAGACAGGAGAAGAGGAGGAAGAGGACCACCAGGCGACATCGGACGAGATGGACGCCCAAGAAGAGGGCACTCAACAGACCGAAGGACCGAAGGAAGAAGAAGCCGAGAAGAGGACGGACGACACCGACTTCAGTGTCGCCACCAGACGGAGGAAGCGGGTGCGAGTTTCCTCCGAAGAAGAAGAAGAAGAACCCAGGCAGCGAAAGATGCCAGCTGCCACAAAGAAGAGTGGTCCTAGAGCAACCAGGACCACCGAGGCCCCCATGGCAGGAACAGGAGTTCCGCCAATCAACATCGAGGGCACCGCTGATTGGTCATCCTTGAGTAGGATGATGAACAGCAAGGGGATTCAATTCTCCAAAGCGAGGACGGCGGGTACCAGTGTGAAGCTATTCACAAATACACCAGCTGACTACCGTCAGCTAGTCGCACTGCTTGAATGCATCAAGCGGCCCTTCTTCACATATCAACTGAAGGAGGACAGGATGGACCAGAGGGTCATTCGTGGGCTTCCGAGAGAGATGTCAGTCAATGACATCAAAGAGGATCTGGTGAGCCAAGGCATCGCAGACGCCGTGGTTCAGCAGCTGACCTCAAGGACCACAAAGAAGCCACTTCCGCTCTTCCTCGTCAAGACGAAGATGCCGGAAAAGCTTGCAGAGATCCAGAGGCTGGCCATGCTCACGGTCAGCTTCGAGAGGAAGAAAAAGTCTTCCGAGCCCAGCCAGTGCTACCGCTGCCAGCGGTACGGGCACACACAGCGGAACTGCCGTCTCGCTGAACGGTGCGTTAAGTGTGGAGAGGACCACAACAGCACCAGCTGCAGTCTGCCAGCGCCGCCAACAGGGCAACGAAACGCCAAGTGTTGCCTCTGTGGAGAAGGCCACCCCGCCAACTACAAGGGATGTAGTAAGGCGCCGAAGAAAGCTGCTTCTGCCCCCAAAGCAGTCCCCACCACAAATAGGACTTCTTACGCCCAAAAAGTGAAGAAGCCTATGTCCACTTCTGCCCCAGCAGCCGCCACTGCTACTGGAACTACTGCGCAGAAGCAACACGGCGATGACAGACTGCTAGCAATGATGCAAGCCATCATAACCCGCCTGGATGCACTCGAGGCCAAGATGCAAGACAAGCACTAGACCCGAAATGTCTACAGGTCAAAACGTAGAATCTCTACGCATTATCTCCTGGAACATCAACGGTTTCAGGGCACGGAAACCAGAAATCCAGGAGATACTAGACCAGTACCAACCAGAGGTGATGGCCATCCAAGAAACGAAGTTGGATGCTGCCCATAGTCTGACGTTCCCGCGGTACGAGACGTACCGCTACGACAGAAGGGGCAGAGGTGGAGGAGTCGCATTACTCGTCAAACGTACCTTGACGAGTCATGTCCTCGACGATGCCGCAGACATAAATGGGGACGGAATCACGGTCCAGGTCCATCACAACCACCGTCCCTACAGAATCACCTCCCTATATGTGCCACCAGGGGAGGCCCTAGACGAAGATGACATCGCTGACCTCCTGAGAGGCCCAGGAGCACGCATAGTCATCGGAGATCTAAACTGCAAGTCTCCGGCTTGGAACAACAACGTCGAAGACAGGAATGCAAGGCAGCTCCAGGAACACGTCGATGCCCTGGCGGGGGTCATCGTCGGTCCGGAGCAACCAACCTACATTCCATTCGGCCTTGGGCGACCTGCGGTACTGGACATAGCCATCCTCCGCAACATCAGAGAGGAGTTCGAGATAGAGACCCTGGTGGAAGGATCGTCGGACCACAATCCGATTCTACTAACACTTGGTACAGGGTCTAGAACTCGAGATAGCTTGAGCACCAAACGGACGAACTGGAACCTTTACAAATCCAACGTCCAGAGGAACATCACTCAAATTCCAACCATCCGATCAGCGGAGGAACTGGACAACGCAGTAGAGGAGCTGGAGAATGCTGTCCTGCGAGCGCACGAGGACAGCACCCGCTCCGAGACTACGGCAGTTCCTAGATACCTAAATGGTCCAGCACCGCACCATATTAGGCACCTGATCAGGGAGAACAGAAGACTCAAGCGAGAACATCTCCAGCTGTTGACAGAGGAGTCGAGAGTTGCGCGAAACAGAGCATCGTTAGCTCTGAAGAACGCACTCGCGGAACTCCAAAACAACAGATGGAATGCAGCCTGTGCAGAACTAGAGACCCAGGATGGTACGGCCTGGTCTATGCAGCGAAAATTTCGTCGTCAGCGCACCACGATCCCCACTCTTCACGGCCAACGCGGCTTGGCCTACTCCAGTGAAGAAAAAGCCGAAGCATTCGCCGATTCGCTAGAATCCGAATGCAGACTCAATTACCATGAAGACGAGGACGACAACCACGAGGAGGCCGTGGAAGTCGCAGCCGAAAACATGAGGAGTCGACCACCTGGCCAGGAGACGGATCACCCCTCCAGTCCAGAGGAAATCCGTCTGATCATCCGCAGGTTGAAGGTCAGAAAGGCGCCGGGAAGGGACGGCATCAACAATAGGATGCTGAAGAACCTTCCCACCAAAGGCATTGCTGCGCTCACCAACATCGCCAATGCCACTCTGAGACTTAACCACTTCCCGCGGCGGTGGCGGGAAGCCCAGGTTATAATGCTCACCAAGCCAGGCAAGGACCGGAAGTTGCCCCAGAACTACCGGCCCATCAGCCTGGTTTCCTCGGTGGGCAAAGTAGTCGAAAAGGCTATCGCCGTTCGACTAGAGAAGCAGGCAGAAGAACTGCAACTTCTCCCCCCAGAGCAATTCGGCTTCAGATCCTCCCACAACACGGAACTCCAAGCGCTACGACTGACGGAAAACATCACCAGCGGCTTCAATCTCCAGGAGGCAACCGGTCTCGTCCTGCTGGACGTGGAACGAGCCTTCGACCGAGTTTGGCACGATGGACTCATCGCCAAAATGGAAGCCGCCGGAATCGATGCGAACATGTGCCAACTGATCCAGAGCTATCTAACACAAAGATGGTTCACGGTGAAGATTGGTACATGCCATTCAACAAGACGTCAGCTGGAAGCAGGCGTGCCCCAGGGGTCAGCCTTAGCCCCCCTGCTCTACAACATCTATACTTACGATGTGCCGAAGACAGCTGACACAATGCTGGCCCTATATGCAGACGACACTGCTATAGCCGCCAAGCATAGACGACCAGAGATCATCCGTAGGAGACTACAGGGTGAACTGGACCAAATTCAGGACTGGTGCGTGAAATGGAAAATCCGCATCAACGTCCAGAAGACGCAGGCAATCTTCATTCAACGAAGAAGGATTGCAAGACCTCTCGAAGCATCCATCTTCGATGAAGATATCCAGTGGAGCGACAATGTCAAATATCTGGGGATCGTTTTTGACAAGTCCCTCACCTGGAAAGCGCACATAGAAGCTGTCATCGCAAAAACCAGAGCAGCCATGGCTCAACTCTATCCATTACTGGGTAGACACAGCCAGATGCCGCTAGCGACCAAGCTACGGCTGATCAAGGCCATCGCCAGACCTCAGCTCGCTTACGCCTCCGCGGTCTGGGGGTACGCTGCCCCCAGCTACCGCAAGCGACTTGCTGCTCTAGAGATGAAGCTACTCCGGATCGCCACCAATGCACCTTCCTACGTAAGGAACTCAACCTTGCGTAGAGACCTGCATTGGGATACCATCCACGAGTACATGAGGAAAAAAGCGGAGAAGACCTTCGAGAAAGCTCAGGACCACCCGAACGAGCAGCTACGATTCCTCATGGACTACGATCCGGACGAGAGGACTCGCAACCGCAGAACCAGGTACCCCAGACCAAGGTCCCAGTTGGCACCCGCTAACTGGAACCTTGACTAGGAGACTAGGAGAACTTGCGGCTGCTAACCCCCCCCACGGCGTGGATGCAGAGGACCAGGAACCACCGGGACCAGGACCCACCGGGACCAGGACCAACCAGGACCCGCCACGACCAGGACCCACCAGGACCAGGACCCTTCAGGACCAGGACCAGGAACAACATATTGGTAAGATGACTTGAAACTCTTGATTTTTCGAAAACAAGAGTTTCAAGAGAAACTAGCAGACCCTCTATCGATGATCGCTTAACGACATCGATAGAATGTGCGAGGTAAAGGGAACCAACCCGGCGTTCCCAGAGACTGAAACACATGAGGAGACGTTGTAGCAGACCGCAGGTCACGCACAACACATGGCCTACCGAGACGCTGATGAGTCGGGCCACGCGGAGGTTTAGGGTTTAGTGGGTATTAGGTGATCTCTTCAAGACCCTGGAGCCCCACACACGTCGTAGCTCGTGCTATGGTATGGTGCGTAAATGCATTCCCCCCTCGTTAAAAAAAAAAAAAAAAAAAAAAAAAAAAAAAAAAAAAAAAAAAAAAAAAATTATCTTGTCAGTTATCTGCAGCGAACAGACGTGCTCAGTTCAGATTTAGTCGCTAGTTAACGTTTTAGTTTTTAAAAAATGGAAAAATTCTTCATCGTTAAGGATTCTACTAAGAAGATTAAAAAATTTAATCTATATGGGCGAGAAGTGGAATTTAAAATACGACCTATCCCTAAAGACGTCGAACCTGTGGGATGGATCAAAGACGCTCTGGAGGAAATAGTAGCCAAAGGAACTGAACATCTCCAGCCCAGTGATCAAGTTGGATTCACTTTCTGTTCCAAAGACTTTACCCGCGGTCAAGGATGGATAGCTTTTAAATTGTTTTCCGACGTTTCAACTGAGGACATATGGGAGAAGATATCTTCCATCTATCAGTCAAATTCTGTGGGGTTGAATACCGAGACTTTTTGCTTGGGTATTACGTCCGTAAGGTTGCCTGCTGGTCGTGGTAGAGCTCAGAATTTCAATACCTTTGATGAGGAATGCGCCAAAAGAAAAGGCATTATCACTGTTAAAAACACCGATAATTTGTGTCTCCCACGAGCCCTTGTCATCGCCATGGCCCATTTTAACAAAGACAAAGATTATAGCAGAATCCGCCGTGATCGAGGAAAAATACAAGGACAAAGAGCTGTACAACTTGTGGAAAAGGCTGATATTGTTATCCCTGAGGAGGGGTGTGGATTACCTGAACTTCAAAAGCTACAACGATATCTGCAAAACTACAAAATTGTTGTATACAAGTTTGGGTGCAAATGTCGTGACGTCATTTTTGAAGGCATGTCCGCTGGTCCGACGCTTAACCTAATATATCACGAGGGGCACTACAGCGTCATAACATCCCTCACTGCTGCCTTTTGCTGCAGCTTTTTTTGTGAGAACTGCCACATTCCGTATAATACTAAACAAATTCATAGATGTGATAAACAATGTTATGCTTGTAAAAGATATCCGGCCTGCCTGAAAACGAAGCACATCAAATGCAAAGAATGTAATAGAAGCTTTTATGGACAAGAATGTTTTAACGCTCATTTACCTTCGGTCTGTTCTAAAATTAAAAGATGTGTAGACTGTTTTAAAGTTCACAACGGTAATGATCACATCTGCGGATATATACTTTGTAAAACATGTTATAAAAATCAACCAATTGAACATATGTGCTATATACAGCCTGACAGAAGTATTCCTAAATCAAATGATGTCTTATTAATATTTTACGATTTGGAAACCCGTCAGGAGAAGGAATTACCCAATGGATCTTTACTGCATGAGCCAAATCTATGTGTATTCAAACAATGTTGTGAATCATGTACCGATAATCCTATATGCAAGAAATGTGGCCTTCGAATACAGATTCTTCGATGTCAAGACGTCATTTCTCCATTTATGCATCATATTCTGACACTTCGTAAAAAATTCAAGAAAGTCATTGTACTGGCGCATAATGGTGGAGGATTTGATCATCAGTTTCTACTTCGTTACATTTTAGAGAAGACTAGTCTGTACCCGAATGTAATTATGAGAGGAACAAAATTAATATTGATGGAGGTAGGAAATGTAAAATTTCTGGATTCTCTCAATTATTTTCCTATGCCTCTAACTGCTCTACCCAAGGCGTTTGATTTGAAAGAGCTAAAGAAAGGATACTTTCCACATTTATTCAACACTTTGGCTCATCAGAATTATGTAGGGCCAATTCCAGCGCTCGACTTCTACGATCCCGACCATTTAAAGGAAGACGCTCGGGAAAAATTATTAAAATGGCATGGCGAAAGACAAGCGGAGGGATACGTTTTTGATTTTCAGAAAGAAATCGTTGAATACTGTATCTCCGATGTGGAAATATTGACACAGGCGTGTCTCAAATTTCGAGACCTGATGAAAACCGAAACCACAGTCGATCCCTTCCAGGAAAGCACCACTATTGCATCATGCTGTAACAAAGTCTTTAGACGCAATTTTTTAAAACCTTAGACGATCGGGGTAATTCCAAAAGGGGGCTATAGATGGCGTGAAAATCAGTCAAAAATTGCCATCCAATGGCTGTTGTGGGAGGAACATCAAAGAGGAATCAAAATTCAACACGCCGCTAAGGGTATAGAAACCATTGTTAAGGGACATAAAGTAGACGGTTTTTGTAGCGACACAAATCAAGTGTTTGAATTCCAAGGATGCTATTTTCACGGTTGCCCTCGATGTTTCAAATACAAAAGAAGCAATCCTCTGCATAATGATCCGTTGAATACATTGGAAAGTCGATACGAACAATCAGTTAGCAAAGTAGAGAGACTCCGAAGCCTTGGACTAGAAGTAATTGAGATATGGGAATGTCAATTTCGAGGAATGCTAAACGATAAAATTAGAGCCTTCACAGAAGCACATCCATTGATAATCAATTTACCGATTAACCCCAGAGACGCTCTCTACGGGGGACGTACAGAAAATATCGTTGAATACTACAAGATCAAAACAAATGAATGCATAAAATATGTCGATATATGTTCCCTGTACCCCTTCATCTGTAAATATGGAAAATTTCCGGTGGGTCATCCAAAAAAAATTTACGTAGGTGAAGAATGTGTTACAGCCTCTCTGTCACAGATGTCAGGACTTATTAAATGCCAGATTCTACCGAACCAGAACTTATATCACCCCGTTTTACCGTCAAAAATGAACAACAAATTGATGTTTGTTAACTGTCAAAAATGTGGTGAAGATTTCGTTCGAGAAGAGTGTCAGCATTCTATTCAAGAAAGAAGCCTAAAAGGAACTTGGGTGATAGAAGAGGTGCTCAAAGCTATTGAAAAAGGTTACCAGATTATAGAGACTTACGAAATATGGGAATACGATACAATTCAGCTCAGTAAAGACCAAGAGGGGTTATTTAGCGGAATGATGAACAAGTTTCTACAAATAAAACAACAAGCTTCAGGATGGCCCAAACATTGCTTAACGGATGAAGAAAAAAACCGTTATATTGATGCATTTTTGGATAGAGAAGACATAAAGCTGGAATTTTCAAAAATTATAGAGAACCCCTGTTTGAGATCGTTAGCTAAACTTATGCTGAATTCCTTTTGGGGTAAATTTGCTCAAAAAGAAAACCAAAACAAAACCTCAATGGTCAGAGACTGTGGTGAATTCTTTGATATGCTGACTAATCCTTCTATTCATGTAAATACAGTTCTCCCGGTAAACGAAGAAACCCTTCTCATAACTTGGGAATTTAGAGAAGAGGCCTATGACGTTTCTTCAACGGTTAACGTTGTATTGGCTTCATATGTCACGGCCCTAGCTAGACTAAAATTATATTCATTCTTGGAGAAAGTGGAAGAAAGGGCAGTTTACGTAGATACAGATTCATGTATTTATATCTCTCGTAAGGGATTAGACGACATATCTACAGGCGACTTCATAGGTGATATGACCGATGAGCTCAATGGGGGTTTCATATCAGAGTTTGTTTCTGGAGGACCTAAGAACTACGCCTACAAATATACTACTTTGTCTGGAGAGGAACAGATCGTATGTAAAGTAAAAGGCATATCACTCAACTACAAGGCATCCCAAGTAGTCAATTTTGAGAAAATAAAAGGCATGGTGCTGAAGAAATCTTATCCTGTTTCTGTACTTTCTCGACAGCTACGACGTACAAGAGAGCATGCAGTAGTAACAGTCGAGTTTCCTAAGGTATACAAGATAACTTCAATGAAAAGGAAATTCTATGAAGATCATACCTCTGTACCATTTGGATTTAAGAAAATAAAGTATTGATTTATTAATGTATGTAAATATTTTTTAATAAACATGTAAAATAAAATGTATGCAAATGATTTTTTGTTTTTTATTTCCCGCCTAATTGAAAAATATTTTTGCACCCGAAATTGTTCAGCCTTTTTACTCCATATAAAATATTTAAAAGTATGCATTGTTATTATTAAACGCCTGCAGTAATATACACCAAAAAAATTGAGAAGCAGTGTAACCATGTGGAACTTTGTATAATCACAAAAAAACATATCTTGGAAAATAAAAAATACAGCAGATTCATAAGCAGTGTAGAGAGGAAACTACGTAAAAGTAATCGATTATTACTAATAAAATAGAGTTTTGAATTCCTATTTTTACAATAATAATCATTTTACTATCTTACGTGTTGGGCACTGCACTGCACGGGTACCAACACTGTACTGCACGGGCACGAAAAATTGAGAAGCATGATAACCATGTAGAACTTCGTATCACTACGTAAATGGTTATTACGAAAAGTAGAAATAAAAACTATATTTTCGATAATAGCTATACTATTTTTTATGAGCACCGAAAAAATTGAGAAGCACGATAACCTCATAGAACTTCGAAACAGCACCAGAGACAACCGAAGGCTACAGAAAAAAACACATACTGAAAAGGCATAACATCTATCAGCGCTGGTATCCGATAATACTGTTTCCTTTGACATTCGTTGGGATATGAAAACACATATTTGCTTCCCACCGTTATAACGGAAATAATAGTTACTGCAAAAGCAGTTTCACGATAAGACCATACATTAATCTACAAAGTTGATAATAAAACATATGTACTATTAAAATGCAGATATTTTTAAAATTATACAATTAAAAAATCAAAATAATATATTATAAATGGTAGGGGATACAGGGTAAACACCGAAATATACTTAATTTAGAATAGTTACTTATAATCTCCTCAGTTCTTTGGTCAGCCGTATCGACAATTTACCGGTGGGTCCTCTATTTTTGTGCATGTAAAAGGTTAGACTGTGGCGCTAGCAAAAAAAACAAAATGCAACAAAGTAGAGTCACTTAATATTCTTGTTGAAATTACGGATAGAATATGGTAGAAAGTAACAATCAGATATTGTAGAAGCCATGTAATTGTTTAATTGTTGAGGAAAAAGTATTTTTCATACGCTGACCATGTTTATGTCCGCTTGGTACGCGACCAGATCTTTTCCAAACCTTTGCCCGTAGGGTTCATGAGCCTACGACCAAATGTGTCGTCGAAGGGGCATTTTTGGCCAAATTCGGTCGAAACCGATGCTGCGTTCGTACCCTAGAGCCTACGAACAGTGACTCAAACTTAATTTTAATTGATATGCAAAGATCTGGCTAGAATGCTTGAGCTAGTGATTATATGCAATTTATCGGTGACGAGCTTTCCTCTAGCATATCTTGATTTATTCAAGCGAATCAATGAGAAACTAGTGAATAAAATTACCTGACAGCCCTAGTACAAGTTGGTATATCTACACCTTCTCTTACATTTGGCGCCACTAAAATGTTAATCTCCTTGTTTCTAAAAACGATCAAGTACTTATCTGTTCTTCTTATTAATCGGAAGTGATTCTACGGTGCTATTAAAAGAGTTTCCGTTATATCCCACAACGAAATCCGGCTTTATATGTCTGAACTCTGGTACATGTTCACTCAAATCTTTCAGTACATGGTGCAATATTTTTGGCAGTTGATCTTTCCTTCGTGAATATTAAACCACAAATGTCTTCGTTTGAAGATGAACTGTTGAAAAGTGTTACGTATTAGTATTAATATTTATGACATTTACTTTTTTAAAATAGTTAAATACTACGATAAACTGGGAATGTGGGATGAAGCAGAAATGTTTCTGTAACCCAATTTAGGTATGTATAGCAAGTCTTACGCAAGACAATAATAAAAACAGATAGAATTCGAGGGCGATTCTTGGAAGAAAAATTCATAGTATTTCTAAGGCAACACCGACCGGAGTGCTATAATTTTAGCATACATTTACAGGTTATAGGTCTAATGATAAATAGAAAGTGATTAAAATTTTAACTTCAATTTTCGTAAAATAGCTGAGATATGCCATCTTGCAGTAGCCTGAAATGAAATACCCGACAGGTTACCCATCACCTGATAGTCTGTGGTTCTCGCCGCTAGATGACGCTACATACAAACGTCATCTGTCAAACGTTATGTGTATCATTGATAAGTGTGAGTTGTGTCTCTAAGCGCTAGATGGTGTCGATGTCGCACTGGTGTCGTAGAGTGACCCACATACAGGGGTCGATAGAAATTTTTGGGGCCCTACCGACGGGTCGATGAACCGACGGTATAACGTCAGATCGAAATAAGATCCATTCACATGGGAGGTGTGTGTAGAATTGCTCGTGGGAGACACGGACCTTGTCGTATATAGCAAGACGTGTCCTAAAATGGTGATACCCATTGGTCGCTCAGCCATACAGGTCGGTCAGACAGAAGTTTTTGGGACCGGGGTGCTCTGATTGGTGGATCAGACAGCGGGAAATTTGAACGGTGTTGATGGTATAGCTGAATGGTGGACGGCGGGGTCGGGTGCGTTGGTAATCACCTATGTCGCAAATGAGGTTAGATAGATAGTCGTTCAGTGAAGGTGTTGTCGTAGCGGTGATATGCAAGAAGTACTGCTCGCGGGGGTGTCAACGAGTTAATATTGGCCAACGATAACAGCGGTGACCCTGGAACACTGTTGTCACACGGTTGCAAAAGATGACAGGTTATCTCTTAATTTTCGTAAACAACGATTTTTCTAAAGTGGTAAAAACAGGTCGAAATTTTAAATACCTATGAATCACCGCAAATTATCTTGTCAGTTATCTGCTGCGAACAAAACATGCTCAGCTCAGACTTATCTAAAAAGTGGTGGGAAAATCGATATTATAAAAATATTTATGAATCACCGCAAATTCTCTTAGACGTGCTCTTATCAGTTCAGACTTAGTTAAAACTGGTGGGTAAAATCGAGATTATAAATACCTATGAATCACCGCAAATTACCTTGTCAGTTATCTGCAGTGAACAGACGTGCTCAGTTCAGACTTAGCAATTCCCAACGCTCCTCCGTGGCCATTCCCCTTACCCTCTCGCGAGTGCGCGCATGCGCATGCGGCTCGTTCTGGTCTATAGACATATGATCGCTAATGATCTTGAACAAAGATGTCCTGATACACGAACCGCCAGAGGTACATCAGAAGTAATGTTAGTATTGTGTGTGCGTGTTTTTTGAACACGCTAAGTCGTGATGTACATCACGTGACGTACGTCACGTGACCTACGTGACGTGCGTGTGACAGGTGACGTACGTGTGACAAGTGACGTGCGTCACGTGACACTTGACGCACGTGGCGTACGTCACGTGACACGTGACGTGCACACTTTGTTCAAAAATACCAAAAAGCTGTCTTGATAGCCCGAACCGCCAGAGGTACAACATCAGAAGTAATGTTAGTGCGTGGTTGAGGTTCAAAAACTTAGCGTGTTCAAAAAAAAAAAACGTACCTAGACCAAAAGTCATTCTAGACCAGTCACTCTAGACCAAAGCACAAAAAAAACGCCGTTTTTCAACGCCTTTTTTGTCACCATTCCCCTTAGTAGCGCGCATGCACATGGGGCTCGTTCTGCTGGTGCTGGTGCTGGCGCGGGCGTAGATAGCGTTTGTGGTAAGGGTTGGGGGTAGGTCTTGTTCTCTTACCACTATCCTATGGTACACAACAAACAAACTTACTCGTGCGCGATAAGAGAACAAGACCTACCCCCAACCCTTACCACAAACGCTATCTACGCCCGCGCCAGCACCAGCACCAGCAGAACGAGCCCCATGTGCATGCGCGCTACTAAGGGGAATGGTGACAAAAAAGGCGTTGAAAAACGGCGTTTTTTTTGTGCTTTGGTCTAGAGTGACTGGTCTAGAATGACTTTTGGTCTAGGTACGTTTTTTTTTTTTGAACACGCTAAGTTTTTGAACCTCAACCACGCACTAACATTACTTCTGATGTTGTACCTCTGGCGGTTCGGGCTATCAAGACAGCTCTTTGGTATTTTTGAACAAAGTGTGCACGTCACGTGTCACGTGACGTACGCCACGTGCGTCAAGTGTCACGTGACGCACGTCACCTGTCACACGTACGTCACCTGTCACACGCACGTCACGTAGGTCACGTGACGTACGTCACGTGATGTACATCACGACTTAGCGTATTCAAAAAAACACGCACACACAATACTAACATTACTTCTGATGTACCTCTGGCGGTTCGTGTATCAGGACATCTTTGTTCAAGATCATTAGCGATCATATGTCTATAGACCAGAACGAGCCGCATGCGCATGCGCGCACTCGCGAGAGGGTAAGGGGAATGGCCACGGAGGAGCGTTGGGAATTGCTAAGTCTGAACTGAGCACGTCTGTTCACTGCAGATAACTGACAAGGTAATTTGCGGTGATTCATAGGTACTATTATAATCTCGATTTTACCCACCAGTTTTAACTAAGTCTGAACTGATAAGAGCACGTCTAAGAGAATTTGCGGTGATTCATAAATATTTTTATAATATCGATTTTCCCACCACTTTTTAGATAAGTCTGAGCTGAGCATGTTTTGTTCGCAGCAGATAACTGACAAGATAATTTAGAAAAATCGTTGTTTACGAAAATTAAGAGATAACCTGTCATCTTTTGCAACCGTGTGACAACAGTGCTCCA